CACAAATTTTTGTGCACCGGGCCTCTAGTCCTATCTAATAATAGACAAACATGGCAATTCACTGTACCTTCGCTACGCTTCCCATTGGCTAATCAGGGCGATATGCAAATTAACCGCCAACAAAGATAGCGGTTAATTTGCATATGTAGGCGCAATGCTGGGAGGCAAAAGGGGAAGGACGGAAGAAGCTGCCTGCCGCTGAGGTGATCGGAAACCCAGGCAGCAGGCAAGAGCTGGGTGGCAGGGCAAAGGCGGCCCCCGCCCGTGATTGGAGAAGCGGCACTGCCTTTGCCCGCCCCCCCGCCGGTGATCAGAAAAGCTGTGCGGGGCAGGGAAGAGGCGGCCGCTGGCAGCTGCCTCTTCCCTTCCCCCCACCGCCAGTGATTGGTGATTGGAGAAGCCGGGTGGGGCAGGGAAGAGGTGGCTGCAGGCGAAAGCCTGCGCACACTTCCTGGAGACGAGCCTGGAAGCCAAGAATGCCTGTGTCCTGCTGTCGCAGAGCCGGCTGTTTGAGGAGCCCAAGCTGACCCAGTGCTGCTGGGAGGTCATTGATGTGCAGGCGGAGATGGCCCTGCGGTCTGAGGGCTTCTGCGAGATCGACTGGCAGACCCTGGAGGTCGTCGTCACCCGGGAGGCCCTCAACACCAAGGAGGTGGTGGTCTTCGAGGCCGTGCTCAACTGGGCTGAGGCCGAGTGCAAGCGGCAGGGCCTGCCCACCACCCCGCGCAACAAGAGGCATGTCCTGGGGCCGGCCCTCTACCTGGTCCGCATTCTGACCATGACCCTGGAGGAGTTTGCCAATGGCACTGCCCAGTCGAACATCCTGACGCTGGAGGAGACCCACAACATTATCCTGTGGTACACGGCGGCCAACAAGCCCCCGCTCGACTTCCCGCTGACCAAGAGGGGAGGCCTGGCCCCACAGAGGTGCCACCGCTTCCAGTCCTCGGCCTACTGCAGCAACCAGTGGCGCTACCGAAGGCGCTGCAACAGCATCCAGATTGCAGTGGACAGGAAGGTGTTTGTGGCGGGGCTGGGCCTGTACGGATCCAGCTCCGGGAAAGCCAAGTACAGTGTGAAGATCGAGCTCAAGCGCCTGGGAGTGGTCCTCGCCCAGAACCTGACCAGGTTCGTGTCCGATGGCTCCAGCAGCACCTTCCCGGTCTGGTTCGAGCACCCGGTGCAGGTGGAGCAGGACACCTTCTACACGGCCAGCGCCGTGCTGGACGGCAGCGAGCTCAGCTACTTCAGGCAGGAGGGCCTGATGGAGGTGCATTGTGGGAAGGTGACCTTCCAGTTCCAGTGTTCCTCCGACAGCACCAACCGCACCGGGGTGCAGGGCGGGCAGATCCCCGAGCTCATCTTCTACGCCTGAGGCCGTGGGCGTGCGGGCACTGGGGGGATGGAGGGCCGGACCCTTTCTCCTTGGCAGGACAGGCTTCAGGACTCCTAAACTTTTGTGCACAGCTGGCTGTAGCCAGAGGTATAAATGAGACGTTTCTACATGGCCAGAGCCCGGTTCTGAATACAGGAGGCTGGGCCTCATCACATCTCCTGCATATTGGGATGCACACTAAGGTGGAGGGCGGATTTGGGGGTGGAGGGCAGCCCAGACCCCACCAGTGGTGCCCACACCACCTGCTTTATGGGCTTGGCCGTCCCTCCCACCCTCCTAGATTTTGTTCTGAGTTGTTCTAAGCTTAAGACCTTCCCTCCAAATCTAAAACCTGGGAAAGGTCATTTTTAAAAAAATGTCAAGAAATTATTAAAAATACAGG